TTGATGCGTTCTTTCGTAAACTAAACACAATACTTATTAGATGATGTTAAATTTACGTATACTTGTTCCGGCGAAAGCCTGAGTTAACTTGGCGACAGAGCTTTGTTGAGTAACTGTAACGAATTAGAAACGGATAGTTGGAACGCACAAAAAACACCCGTGAAGTAATAAATTGTCGAGTTTTATTCGTTTTCGTAAAAACTCGAGAGTTCGCTGTCAATAAATCAGATTAAAAGCTTAGGCAATAGATTTTAAGGAACTTCTATGTTACTGTTGGGCCTTTTACTATGTCAAGAACAAAAATATATTGTAACAGAATGTATGAGATTGACATACCTGATACAAACTTCGCCTAACTATATCAATTCTTTGTATTTTGTCATACATAATTGGTAAAATAGGACTCCAATACTTGGACTTCGTTGTCCATCCATCTATCTACCCGTTTGTATGTCACTAAAACTTTGTTGTCGATAATATTGGATACTAAAAACAAAATAATATAAATATTTAAACGGGTCCCATGCAAGAAACGGGACATTTTCTCCAGAAAATTGTTGAAAAAGACTCAAACAAGGCTTTTGTTTACCAAGGTAGTACAAAACTCTTTGTGGCCAAATCCGACTCACACTTGACAGCTGTTTTTACTTGGCTACAGCCTAAGAGCCGTTTACTACTCTTAGACTTACTAAACAGTAACAATTGCACATGACGGGGTTCACTTACTTGGGGTCTAAACGAACTACAGATTATTTACTTCCGCCATTTTGTTTCTGCTTTATCAAAGACGAGAAGACGTGTATCGTAAGAAATTATGATTACTATATGAAAATAATATCTCTCTTTGAACTTGTACTGCATGCCGAGTAATAAAAAACGCCATCAAAACGTATTCAGTTGCGCTAGTAAAAGTTGGATGTAATAATATCAATTTGAAGCCGGAACCTCGAACTACGTGATTTCTTGAACGCTCTAATTTATATCGTACTTGTTACAAAATTGGTTCGGCCATTACCGCTTGCGTAGATTAGGTTTTTACGTTGTGTGCTTACAAAAAATAATATGATTTATTATGGTCGCTAGATGGCTTCTTTGTGTTCGTCTGACGGAGTAAAAAAATCACGGTCGTGGCGCGTGTCTAAGGACTTAAAAGCATTACTGTCGTTACCGGTAGGCTTTATATGGTTTTGCTTATAGCTCTACTGCCTATTTTTTAACTGAAATGAAACTTAACATAATCTATGATATGGCTAAAATGTCACCACGTAAGTTGACCCCGGAATGAATCCCGGGCCATTGTGCATAAGAACGATTTGCCGCCATAGAATTTAGGTTCGGTGATTATTACTACTTCGAGATTCTGGGTTCCAATCCCATCGTGATTGGTCATTAGAGCGTTTTGACTATAGCGTATTTTTATCGTTACGTTAGTTGGGTGTTTCTCTAGGATATATGTTTTTGTACCAGCCCGTGTTTTTAACTCTAAGTCTTGTTTATCATCTCTAAAAATGGCGATACTCTTTGAAATCCGCCTACCTTTATGAAAGCAGTGTTGTGGGTTTAAGTTTTTTAACCCACCACGCTGTCTCTTTCCTATAGTAGAGGAGACTACTGTGCTGTGCTAGCAGTGGAATATTAATAGGTTGAAGCATATGTTTCATTAATACCTAAGTTCAAATTCAGGCTTTTACAATGTTTAAGACCTTCGAATTCATTATATGGAACTTCTCTAAATACTAGTGATGTATTCGGTACAGTATGATTCCAACTCTTTTGATGCTAAGTTCTGAGGTAAAGAATATAACGGTATACGAAGATAGTGTGGGCACGGCTTACAACAATTGATGAGTACACGAAATGTGGGTCGCTCTATTTAGCATACTTCAGCGATATCTCTAGTGAATTTATAAACATTACTATCATGTTTGCTTTATGAAGATAGCTTTCAGTTTGCAAAATGCTATCTAATGAGCTAGTTATAGCTATTGAGTGTGGCTAACGAGATAGCGTCGCGGATGTCCAACGCTGGACCAAACGAGATGCAATTAAGGTTGAGATAGAAATCATAATTCCAAAGTTATGACTTCTTGTGAGGATGTGTGGATTTTAAAGCCTATCTTAATTTGCATTGCTAGCAGCTAAGATATTGATTATTATTTTGTATGGTAGAGATTGGACATTTTTCTATAACATTTGTGTACCTATGTATATACAATTCATAAGTTACTATAATTCATCATGGCACTTTGAATGGTTAGAAAGGCGGTATTTTATTTATTTATTTCAGTAGCAACCTAAGCTGATGCGTGAAAATTATCATTTCTTGTAGAATGAGTCTAAAAGGTCTTTGAATGTATTAAGTGAAAGAGACAATTTCCTCGGAGAGTTGGTTCCAGTCGCATACCAATTTATTTGGAAATAAATATTTCAGATCATTTCCGTTGTATTGAGCTGACTTTAGTTTTAAATGATGTCCCCTTACCTGCTTGTTCTTGTTTTCGTTAAATATGCTGTCCAGTCCATCTGTTGTAGTAACTGGAAAGAATTGCATAAGTTTCTTTTAAACATTCTCTTTGTCTTCCTCTGCGTCGTTAAGGCCTTCCAATTAAAATAATTAAATAATATATATCACCATATTTATTTAATCCACGATTTCAGATGCTTTATATAAGTCATTGATTTATATGACTCGCATAAAAAACAAACAATTCTGTGTGAACTCAGCTGTTATTGCGGACTGATCACCGGGAGACAAAACGTCAATGACGTTTTGGTGTCAGTCTTTAAACTTTTGAATGTTTAAAGTCAATATAGGTTTTTTTATGATAGAGTAGAACAGACAAGCATCGGGTTCACTTGATGGTGTCAGCCATCTAAACACCATGCGCTGTGACCTATTGGCTTTGGATTTTGGGAAATCCATTGACTGACCGAAACACGATTAAACTTCACGGATTTCTCATATGTAAACGGTGGTTCGTGACCCGGCTGGTATTTCGATATTCCCACAACCAATATACAGATTTCCAAAGTCCGAAAATGTTGGACCCAACGAGGATCGAATCCACGACCCATTGATTCTAAGCCATACATTGCTGGCATGTGGCGAGGGTATTTCATCTTCCATCGAATAAAAAAAAATCTTATGAAGTTGTTCGAGTTGATAATACTAATAGTCGTTCAATAGATTAAATTTATAGTCATAGTAACTGTATGTTTATTGATCCATATAGATTGGAACCTCCCAGCCGGCTTTCGAATATTAATTTGTCGTAATAAACGTCTAACGAATGCTTGCGCTTGCGCTGATTGAACCGCCTCCCATAAAACACTTTTTGTGCTAGTTTCTAGATTAAAGTAATTACTGAGATTCGACTACATATTTTAAAATAACGTTTTTTTTTATCTATTATGAAAACTGTTAATTTAATATTTTATATGTAGCAAGGTATTGACCTTCCTACATATAAAATATTCCTTCATATGTATTTAAAAACTGCCAATTTTGATCGACCCTAATATTATAAAGCTGAAAAGTTTGTTTGAACGCGCTAAACTCTGGTTCGGATGAAAGAATTGTATTGGTTAAAGCACTAATCGAGAAAGGTTATAAAACATCGCGCTGCGACTTATAGGAGCGAAGGAACAGCAGGAAATGTGTAAAAACGGGGAAAATTAATCTTTGTAACTCTCTGATGCGTACGTTACGAAAACGGTTAAACATACCCAAAAAAAAAACGAATAAAAAATACGCGACACTATATATGTCTTTGTTTTAACATTAACTTGCAAGAACGCCGGGACGTGACTGACGTCGTCGGGCAATAGATTACATTTATATAAGATGCGAAATCAAATTTATATTCGCAAAATAAGCATTCTACGCGGACGAAGTCGCTGACACATCTAGTATTCTATATGTAGCAAGGTCAATGACCTCCATGTATCAAAGTTTTGTATTTTTATGAAACTACGCGGCTAGCTACAAGTCAACATACAAACACTCTCACTAAGATTTCTACTTACATATTCTGAAATTGTGTATACAGTCACACTCGTAACGTTGAGTAAATATTTAGTTCTTTCCATGCAGGATTTGTCATTGTTTAATATTCACATAGAACTAATAACAAAGATATAACAATGCCTGTTTGATAATAGCCCTTGGTTACATCTGCTACATACATTTTGTATAACATGGTTGAATTCCTCATATAATAATAAATTATTCAAATTAATGTCATAACAAACTCAACTAACAGCATCTTATCGGCTAAGATATGATTGAAGTTAGCTTTTGTCTTATTAAAATGTGATAAAAGTATATAATTTTAAGTTACGTTAATTGTTTTAATATGAATTTTAAGTTAATAATTATTCACATGACTACATTTACTTATTAATTGCACATGTTTGCATTTTACAAGTTAAAAAGTCTATATAGATGGAACTGGATGCCGGTTCGAGTCCTGCCCGTGTTAACATTTTTTCAACCTAGTTACACAAGTTTTAAAAATAGGTTAATTTGGTAACATGTTTAAATGTTAACATCTTAACATTCGAAATTCTTGATTATAGTAGAAACGTAAAACTTTCACTTACACGACAAAGGAAAATATAATAACCGTTATAATAATTTTAATAAAACCCTTCAACTGTTAAAATCCCGAGACATATAAGTTAAACTTATTTGAAACGTCGGGCCGTAGTTAAAATAACTTCCGAATAAATTTAACTAATATATATCGAGTTTTAAACCGTTAAAATGTTTTATTTAAAAGTGTACTACCCGCGTGAAACATTATAATAATCATAATCGTATGTCATCGTTTCAAATACAAATAGACAGAAACATTTTAAAAGGTCGTTATCGTCGTTATATTTAATTTTTCAAACTACCCACACTAAACTATTATTGGATACTACAGACAAATCTCTGTTGGAAATTTTTATGTGTATAAATAAAGGCATTGTTTTTGTTGCAGCTTAACACCAGCAAGATGCGGTGGGGATACAAACTTGTTGTGGCTGCTCTATGCGTCGCCTTGAGCAGGGGTGAGCTGCCCGAAGACGACTTCAGGATAATAAACAAACAGGGTAATAAAATATTTTATATTTATAGCTCGTACATTTCTTAGTGTATTGGGGCGAATGGATTTTGTAGGCGAGATTCGCTATTGCTGTTAAAATGTTGATTTTTTTACTATTGTATATTTTTAATTGGAACGGGATTGTATATTGTGTTAATATGTTTGGGGTTTTTGAAAAGTATCTCTGTATGTAGTTTACGCGAGTAGTACACATTTAAATAAAAGACTCTTATTTCAAATTATTCTAGCCGTCGTTGTGAAACGTCGGGCCGAGTATAAAATTTAAAACTTAAAGTTTAACTCATACGTTGCTCGTTTTAAACCGTTAAAAAAGTTTTATTTAAATTAAAAAAGAAAGAAAACAGAATGAATTGGGCCGAACAAAAATCGGTGCGAGTCTTAAATAATTATTCAATAAAAAATTATATATAATTGTTTGTACAATATATATTAAAAATATCAAACAAACATAAATTATAATAATTATGTTAATAACATACATGTTTCTGAATATTTAGTTCCACTCTATATTAGCATCAACTTAAAGCCGTGTGAACTTCTCTATTTTTGTGCTTAAGAATGTTTTGTATACGAAAATGTTAATGAAAGGTATTTTACGCCACGATCAACTCTAATGAATGTAGATGGATTAGTTAGAATGAACATTAGTTGCTTATCTATGCCGGTAAAAGTTCAGTGACCTTGGCGGACCGCAAAGGACTTGAAAGCTTACTTGATTTTTTCTACCGATTTTTGACAAGTGACATACGAGTTTTTAGTCGATTTTCTGTGGTCAGGTTGAATTTCCTTAAAAAAGGACCACCTAGTAAGTGAAATATTACCCTTCACTGTCTCTTCTGGTCAAACATGTTGCCCTGATTACTTATAGATGTTCTAAGTCCGAATCCTTTTTTTAACTGATAATGTAGATCCCAGCACGTCTTGTTTATATGTTATATGGCTGGGGTGATGTTATATCAGCTACCATCAAGTAAACCCCGTAGATGTCTGTCATGAAAAAAAAATGCACAATGCACGCGGACATTTTTACGTAGGGAGTGTGGTACATAACACTACACTCTGTGTTGGATCTGATCGTGGCAAACCCTACTAGAGGGAAGAGTTTACCAGAACCACTAAATACACCGCCTAAAAATACGATGCTTTCTAGGTAACCTTAGTAAACCTAGACCAAATACTAGAAATTATAATCGATAAATAGATCAGTCAAACATACTTAGTGAATGGGACACTATAGGGAAACAAAATCACACTTTAAAATAAAGTAATATAACGATTTAGTTACAAAGTATTTTTACCTACACGCAAGACATAATACGAGTCATCCCACCATATTGATGAGTATTAGAAAACGGCGTCAAAAATCGACCTTAATGCCAGTAGACAATCTTTTCGTGGCCCCAGGGGAAGTTTTAAGATACTCGACAAGATAACTCGGAGCAGCTATCTCCCCGCCTCTAAATAACAGTCATTTAATTCAGTTACCCGCGGTATCACGCAGGAAGTTGACAGACCTCGCAGGATGTCACTCATAGACATTGCACAAGACTCAGCTTCTTGCTATACCTATAATTACTGTGATTCATCTACTCGTTGATACCGCTAGTATCGAATTTCGAATCGAGTTGAGAGTGTTGTCGTGGTATGTTTATGGGCATAGTTCAGTCAAATACAAAATAAAATTGATTCAACTAGGGGCAAACGGCGGCTTTATGGCTATATTGCCATCTCTTTCAAGCAACCGCGGTGGAATTGAAAACACAGTAATACAAGAGATATGCGTGATAGAAGATAATGTAGTCTTATAAGACGCGGACATTAATAAAACTAAGAAATTGGCACTATTGTATTAAATTTTCTTAAACAAAGTGTTTTTTTTGCTTACTAATAAAATGAGTTTTTAAATAAAGATCGAATTGCATTCAAAGGTCAGTCTTCACGTCACCTTCAGACATTAGATTCCAAATTCAAACCAAAAACGTAACGTATACTTAGATAAAAAAACATTGAATTTTTTGCAAAAATCAATCATTTGACTCGATCGAACTTTAATATTCGAGAAAACCAATACTAGGGGTACAATACGTATCTAGACTAAACGGGGCCATAAGCTATTATCTAAATATAGGCATGTATTAATAGATCTTATTAAAACGTCTGCGCTTGCGTTAAAACACATACCTTATGTTTGCCTACGAGATCAATTAAGGTTTTAATAAGTGTTTGCTATTTTTATTAACTTCATTATACGGGTTGATCAATTTCGTGCATTTGTTTTTAATTTTTATACGAATATAAATTTGATAAGTCAATGTATAATTTGCAGTTGAAAGTACTAGTACTCTATTTTTTTGTTGTTTTGTTTTGTGACAATAAAGAATATTTGTATTTGTACTAGTACTCTACTAGAAAAAAATAATAACTGTAGATTATGCGAGAAGTACCCATTTATAAAACATTTAGACGTTTAAAACGCGAAATATATTCGTAAAACTTATTTACATTTTTTTTCAACCACGACTCGACGTTTCGGATGCTTTGCTGCAGCTGTAGTCACGGGGAGACTACAGATGTAGGGTGTCAAACATCAATAACGACCGAACTGATGGCGCTAGCGTATCAGTTTTAACTTTACAAATATATTTCGCGTTTTAAACTATTAAAGTATTTCATTTAAATATGTATTTTTTTTTCTTAAACTATTTGTCAAATTGCGTATTTGCAATAATTTATTAATACCGTATATAACATCGAATGTTTCTTTAATCTAAGTTTGTTTGTGTCCATGTTTGTAAGAACAAATAATTACCTCTATTAATAAAAAAATCACACTTTCGCCGTTGGTGTTAGCTAAAACGGTGACGTAAACATTAAATATTTGCTGACCATATTTGCACGTACATTAGGCTTTGTTTTTATCGTTTTAGAGGTCTACAAGTGTTTTGCCTTAAGTGGTTTTCTTTACGTAGATTAGGTACGTACTTATTGCATATATGCTCTTAAGTACGATACAGGAGAACTGTTGTATATATTATAACCATTCCATTTGGGGAACTGGCATTTCAAATCTTGAGGTTATCGTACATTTGTCAGCAAAGTACGCGCCACAACACCATACAGACGAACAGACAAATATGGAGTTCTGGGGGGATGGAATGAGAATTACCCCCGCCATATAACATCTCAACAAGATGTGCTATCGACCTATTTTGGCTTTGGATATTTGGAAACCCAAACCCTTCATGCCTTCTTCATGTGTGGAAGTGGTTCGCGACTCTTACGGGATTTCAATATCCTACCACCCATTTAATACCTAGATTTAAAGACGAAGTCCAACATAATGTTTGAAAATTTTTTTAGACCAATTCGAACCTACGACCCATTCACTATAAACCATACATTACTACCATTAGTCAAACTAGATTGTCAAACACACATTAGCGTATGCTTATTTTTTTATATCACACGTAGGTGTGTCCAGTATGTTGGTATGTTTGTGTTTATAATAAAACATCAAATCGTTGATAGTAAATAGTTGCAGTATTACCAAATAAACATGACAGTTATTTACTTAGTTACAAGCTGTTAAGATTGCCTAAAACGCCCACTCATGTGATCCAATTCTATCATGAATGCCAGATTATAGCCGGCCAGGTTTCTGTTACATTAAAAAACTTGAAACACAATAATTAAAAATACCCACCGTAATTAACAACGTATTATTTCTTACCAGCTGTGACTGTGATTGAATGTGACTATTGAATTTGGGCATTATATTATTTATTTTTGCAAACAACCTCCTGAGCTCAAAGACAAGTTAAAATATTAACTTGTTAGTCTCTTATTAATTTAATTAATATATTTTTTATCTATATTAAATGAAAGCATCCGACAAGAATCAAATAGAAAAGTGGTCTACGTGACTTCTAAGTTGCATAATACATGTAAATGGTTTTTCAAACTGCGTAATAACGATAATGAATTAATCATATTAGTCGATAAGCGTGTTTCGAAAACTATCGGCATCTATTGAACTAGTTATAGTTCCCGGGTTTCGTCCGCTTGGGAAATTGACATTTAGAGCAAGTTATATTTAGGGTTCCGTACTCAAAATGCTTTGGAACCGTCTATTGATCTATTATAAGACTGAATCGCCAAAACTAATAGCTATACAACAAATATTAATAACATAATAAATATTTTTCTTGCAAGCGTTTGATCGGTTTTATTGTAAATATTAATCTCAATTAAAAGATAGCTCATCGCAATGCAATGGTTTATATACACATATTTAAATAAAACTTTTAACGGTTTAAACCCAGTTGTTTTGCCATGGGTCATACATAAACGTTAAATGACTGAAACTGGCATCGAATTTTCATGAAACAAAGCTTAACCTACCTGTAAGATAAATGTATTGGTGAACACCGAGAAACGGAAGATTTAACGTATACAAACAGACACACATCAACACATGCAATTCCCAAAAATAATATTTTTGTATTGTCACTTTCGTTAATATATTCTTAATAATTTTATCAAATGTACAGACAGACAGTTCTGTTTAATGTATAGTATTAATATGACTATTATTTTCAGACTTGTTGGCGTCAAACAGCGATATCTTCGAAGATAAGGATGCAAGATCGTTTTCACAACTGTTGTTCGATGTTGCAAGAGACCAGCTTATAGTGGGCGCAAGGTTAGTACGGAATATCCACCTTTAATCTCCCTTTTCCCATAATGCTATTTGATTTTTTTTTTCGTGTTTTGGAAGTGACTTTTCCGAAAAATTATCTAAAGATTAAAAAGTCTCTTTATCTATATAGGTATCTATATCTATACTAATATATAAAGCTAAAGAGTTTGTTTGTTTAAACGCGCTAATCTCAGGAACTACTGAATCGAATTGAACAATTATTTTTGTGTTGCTTTGAGCATAAAATTTCGTTTTTACTGTTACCCACGACGTCGGTTGCGTCCCTTCCTGTTGTTCTTGTAAGTTCATCTTAAAATATCTACATATAGCGTCGGGGACTTTTTTTTGGATCATTTAAAGAAGAATCATTCTTTCATACATATTTTTTGGGTATTGCAGCGTACGCCTCGGAAACCGATAATTATGAATGATTTTCCCAATTTTTATTAACATTCCTCGCTGTATCCTCGCTTGCATTAGTCACAGTGCGATGTATTAGCCTTAAATGCTATGTAGCCTTACTCAATAAATGTACTAACCAACACGAATTCAATTCGAATCAGTAGTTCCTGAGATTAGCGCGTTCAAACAAACATTTATTATTATATATTACATTATATATTAGTATAGATAATGTTGTGGAGGTGCAAAAAGAAATTTTGACGTAATCGCTGTCGCATCCGGTATATTATACGCCTAGACTGATGTACTATGTATTTTTATTCTTAACTCATCATTTTGTTGGATATTTCTCAAGCGCGGACACTAAAATATTATTTTACAGTATCGTAATAACTATACGTAAATATTCTTACGATTAGTTAAGTTGTTATAAGCTTTTATTGATTCGCACACTCGTGACAAGTAATAACCGGAGTTAACTAACCGATCGTCTGTTAGAACGTCTGTTTGCTCATGATATAAGCATTACTGCTACTTCGTTAAGAATTAGTGTTGCGAAAGTGACGTCCCATTTCGGGGTCCATTCAAAGGATATTTACCTTGTTAGCAGCGATTTATTGATAGATTTTACGTTAATACACGTAGGCCATCGCGTTCTTTACTTGCTTGTGTGTTTAATTCTATGTCATTTTAAAATTATAAATCAAGGAACATGCAGAAATTCTCCTCTTTGGGGCATGGGACACATTTACTGGTAGATTTACTTACATTCAAGCATTTAAATAAAACACTTTAACAACAGGTTTTAATGGTCAACGCGAAATATATTAGTTAAACTTATTTGAAACCAATTTTATCCACAGCCCGACATTTCAGATGCTTCAAACAAAATAAGTTTAACTCGTAAAAAAATAAATATTTCGCAATTTCAAATGTTTACTAACGTAAACTACAGACAGTATTTACAATCGAGCGGGTAATCAGACTTCTATAATTAGACATGATTATTAAGTATCCTAGACTACAATACAGCTACAATGGAGTTTTAAAAGGTACTTTTTGCGCTTCGACTCAGTAAAATCTCGATACACCAACTTCGCGTCTCCACGTGAATGCGTGGGAGGGTACTTTATCTTTACGCTGTCCATAAATTTAGAATTTTAGTCTTATGTATACGTGACACTTTTAGGAGGCCGGAAACATCTTAATTCCGCCAAACGTTTTCCCAACATCCAACCTTGCCAAATAAAAATAAAAAACCTGATTTAATCGATTAAAACCGAGTTTGTTGTTTTTTCTTTTTCAGTTGGATACCTACCGGGCTTTAAAAATGTTTTAAATTCATTTACTTTATCTTTGAATTTAAAATCTTGAGTTATACTTCCATTACAGTGGAATCAAAGAAGTCTCACTCTGTTGTGATTTGATTTAAAATTACCTACGTTGACGATCTCTTTGGTCGATTGGTAGCAATCTATTGCTAATACCTAACGGGTCGTGGGTTCGATCTACACCGAGTCTAATTGACCTTTATCTTTTTTGACACATGTTTACCTTCGTCTGAAAAGCCTGGATTTTAATTGGGTGGTAGGAATATCGAAATTCCACCCGGGTCACGAACTTCCGTCCACAGGTGAAAAACTGTGAAGTTTAATGGCGTTTTAAGTTTGTAGATTTTAAAATGTCAAAATCTAAACATATCGACAGCTCATCTAGTTGAGATGTTAGATGGGGTATATCACCCTCAATCAAGCGAACGCCATGCTTACCTGTCTGTAATAAAATAGTAACTAATCTATTTTAGGTAGTTCTCCTAGAAAGAGGTTTCAAATAATTGTCTCGATGTCGGAGCTGGGGATATTAATATTGCCATATAAGCCAGAGAGGTGAAAACGCTTAAATAATAGACACAGCTTTCTTTTCTAAACAGCTCGCCACTTGATTATCCCTTATAAGCGAAAATTATATTCAGCTAACCGTAACAGGATTCGTAAATCGCTAGAAAACTGATAGGTTCAATGGAAACTGGTTTCTGGAATATTGTGAGGTATTAATCGCTACTGTTATTGTCCCCTTTTATCTGTGAGAAGTGGATCGTGACAAATAAGGCACAATTTATTGTGTCATTTCTTACACTGTCGTACTATCTATTGAATTACAGTTAACATTGATTGAAGAATCATAACGCCTTAATTGACACGTTATTGCAAATGATGGCATTATATAAATTAAAAGTGGATTATAAATCGGGCAGGACGTGACCGTGCTGTTGCTAATAAATTGAGCTACCGTGTCAATTCAATTGGCTAGAGCAACAGCACGGAACGCTGTGGTCGCCGATTCGAGTCCTGCCCGTGTCTTTTTTTTATTTATAATCGATTATTCATCTTTATATCAATTAAAAAACTATTTAAAATTATTAAAAAGCTTTATATAAAATGATAAGTTTTGGATTACAAAATTCAATGACACGAGCGTGATTCGAACTAACGATAGTAAATAAAAGTTATCAAGTATTTAAAAGTATTATTAAGAATTATCAGTTAGAATCGCAACCTTATTAAATATCTGTTATTTCTGCTTACGATGATAATAACATTTTCTTACCACATTAAGATCGCACAATTCTCGTTTGCTTAAGCAAAATATTAAGAACCGAAAAAGTTGAATTTCTAGTTTCTTGATTAGTTGAATTAATTAAAAAATATTTGAAATTTTTATTTATCATTTATTAAGTTAATTGATCTGTTTTTCATTATTTATAGTGTCAATACATGTGTTTTAAGTGTATATTTGTGTTTTACACGTTAAAACAGTAAGTCATTAAAAATATATTGTCTAATCTGTTCCTCACATTTATGAATATTAACTTTGACGCCATTAACCGTTATTTTAATTAAAAACTACGACCGTAAAATATACTTCAAATAAATTACAAATATTAGTTCACTACATCGTTAAAAACCTTATCTTAATATTATTTTGATGATAGTGCGGTTGGCCTATCCGAAACTTAGGCTCACCTGTGTCATAATGCTATAAGATACGTTATCTTGAAAACCGGTCTGCGTTAATGCAACTGATAAATAAACCGTCATTCTCCTTTTTGAGTTTGTTAATTACTCGACCGAGCAGGAAGGATAATGTCTTCGAGATATTAATCTATGTAAATTATTGAAAAACCCTTTTTTAATGAGCTCGTTTAGACCTATAAAGGAAGGGGGGGGGGGGGCTTATAGGGGGGTTCGCTTTGGTCCTAAGACCCACCACGATATCTAGTGTAGGTTGGGTGTCTACAACTACCACTACTGAATTCGTGATAAGTAATTACGATGGCGCGACGACCGTGCTCATCGACCCACAGGAGTGTTTAAACCTACTTTATTAACTCTATACTTCGAACAAGTACATGAAACTTTCTATATCTCAGTGAATCATTACCTAAAAGAAAAATATACACACACGTAATTCTGTGACGTCTTAATCTATACTAATATTTTAAAGCTAACGAGTTTGTTTCTTTGTTTAGTAGTGCTAATGTTAGGCACTACTTGTTGGGGGTATATTTTTTTCTTTTTGTGTTGGATAGACCTGGATGATTTATCCAGGAAAGCTTTAGACTGGAGAACATCTCGTTGCGACCAATTGGAGAGAAGAAACAGTGAATATTGTGGGAAAATCGGAGAAAATTTATCTTTGAGGGTTCCGAAAACGGTTCAAGAAACCAATAAAATATGTATGAAAAGTGAATGAAAGAAGAACCGCATTAATCACCATGATTACATTTGGTCGAAATTAATGCATTGTTTGTTAGCGTTGCAACCAAGCAATGTTTTCCGAATCAGCTTGTTATTAATAAGATTAACTTTAAAACATTTTTAGCGCAAAGTGTGCTTAGCACTTAATCGTATAATGAAATAACGCATAAACTTATTAGCTATTGCCTAAGCAGATTAAAAGTAATCTAATAATAATACTACATTTACACCTACTTAAGAATATTGATTTCACAAGAACACGCTAGAGCTCTTCCAGTGGGCATGTCTTCATGCGAAGTTTCAACTGCGCCTTGAGAACATCATAATATAGTTCTACAAACTTAGGAAAGTTTAGTAGCCTTTTTATGATAGGGAAGGACAGATAAGGACGGGGTTCATTTGGGGATGAAATAATGGGTGAAAAAGTCGGTATTTTATGTGGTCTGATTAATCGGTATCCCTGATATACATAATAATAAACGTGGTAGTCACATAGATAAAGAAAATACTTTTATTCCTTCCATCCCCCGTGTACACTGCTGCTGGAAGGCATCCGAAACGTCGGGCCCTAGTAAAAATAATTTAAAATAAGTTAACATAGTATATTTCGCTTCTAAGTGTTTTATTTAAAATATCTCGACTTTCTTATACAATTTTTGATTTTTATTGCGTAGAATTTAAAGATGGTCTTTTATCAAAATCTCTCGTTAATTATTTGTGAAAATAGCCATAACCAGTTTACGAGCTCTATAGCATATCGGTAAACTTTGAGTATTACTAGAACCACTATCGACGTAGGTGTCCGTGAGTTCTAGTTACTTCATATAAGCGTTATTTCCATTA